AGATTCAAACATTCTTGAGGATCGCAAACCACGATATTTGAAGCGTTTACAACTACCATAATACTCAAAACAGATGGAGTACCTATTACTCTTGCATCTATCCTATCATGCCTTGCTACGTCTGGCCGATCTCAATGATCCAAGTATGCATTCACTTCAGCATTGTTGGGTTCACATTTATCGGTCCTCAAGCAAAGCTGGATAAAGTTATTGAGGCGCACTATCTCCTTTATCGATTGACTTGTATTTCCTCCTCAATTAAGACAGGAGAGGGCATAGGGACCTCAACACGATTCACCTCTTTGCCAAAATTTGACAAAAGAGCTTCTAATGAGACAAGTAAATAAGCTCATTCCTCAAAGGAATCCCTAGATACACTTTTTAGTCAGAATCGTTAGATAAATATATGAATTCTGGTTCTAGGCCATCATGATTAAGAGGGCGAAGATGATAATCAGGACATGTCCCTATTTTTGAGGAATACAAAGTTTTGCTTCCAGAATTGTTCACTAAGTTAACGGTACTATGACTCATCCTAACTAGAAAATAGGAAATGCTGAAGAAAAAGTTTGAGTTTAGGATGGTACTTGAAACGTGAAATTGGTGAAGCATAATGAATGAAGAAAACAAAAATTTTGATTATAGAATTGCAATCGTTCTGGTTAACGCTCTTAAGAGGGAAGAGGCAAAGATGTTTGTCAATAAAGTGTATGTGAATGAACTTGAATGTCAAAAGTTTTGAAAAGTCACTCAAATGTCTGATTCCTCCTATTTAGAGGCATAAACGGTTGGACGAAACAAATCAACTAAATAAAGGAGTTACAAAATCAACGACTAGATTTCTCTTCCAGGATGAATGCAAACTCGAGCACACTATGAACCGTGCCACACACTATCTTATCACATCAAGACACACGTCAAACGAAGGAGACAAAATATTTAATAATAAAAATGCATTTAATGCGCTTGTTTCCCACTACTTTTTCAACTGACTCAAAACCTTTCAGGTCTAGCTCACCTCGGACAACGTCTTGGAGGACGACTAAAATCGTTAAAGGATTTCTCGACTCATTCGGCACTCGACAAAGCCTTGGGGGAAATTGTTCTAGGCCGGTCAAAGGCGCAAATTGTTAAGGCCTAATTCATCTAAAATCCATTCCACTCGATTCAAAGTATAAAGTCAGTACACACCAGAAACAAGGTACACACTTATGATATCCACTATTAGTATACTCATCTGAAACCTTGAATTGACTTGGGCATAATAACGCTAACCATGCAGGCCCACTCTGCGCCTACGTTTATCTAGTTTGAACTTAAACAATTAAAATTTGAATTACAACTTGTGTCAAATTTAGGTTAGTGCAAACTATAACATACATTTCCAAAATCATCTACACATTAAAAAAAATAATCACCTAAATACTTCACGTCAAATTCCTTTATCAAGAAGACTTTTAGTTCATTGACATCATGTAAATGATTAGCAACAATCAACACATCATGTAAATGATTACCAAGAAGACTTTTACTCATCTAAATTACTATGTAGAAATGACGCCTTCATCCATCTGCTTTAAAAGCATGTATCAAGTGACTACCAAGGCTATTACTATCCTTATACATGCATCTGAATCCTATAGGTCCATGATGAATTTTATTATTTAAACCTAGTTTGACTCGTAATTCAAGTACTACTCGTGCCTTTCTCATTGATAGTGAATCAATATCCATATGAATCACTTTATGGTTGGAAAATTTTCCTTGAAAGTGCTAACACTTATGTTGTAATTAATTGTATACTCAAAACCTATACAACTCATTTAGAGGGCTAAAACCACGTGACCTTTAAAATATATTTAAAACAAATTAAACTTTATATTTGTTAAGGGTTAAACCCAACCACAATTTCTTAACAATGCGTGAGTGTTTGATTTTTTGAGTGCAAGAAATTTAGATCCAACCATAATATCTTAACAATGCACAAGTGTTTGATTTTTTGAGTGCAAGAAATTTAGATCCCATTCAATGAACATTAGTCTAGTAAACAAATAAATAGATATATATTTGAAAGTCTTCAATCTCTTTTCCTTATGTATATCCATGTTTATGTGTTTAATTTTCGTATGAAAATTTCTCTAGGTTTTAAAAATGGACGGATCAAACAGTAGTTATGGTGGAAGTATGGAAACGTGACTATCAAATTATAAGTTGGGAAAGTCACTTTGCTTTTGGTCCTTTTTTTTTTTGTAAGCAAGCAATAAATTATTAATGAGAACTAAGCGTTCTCTAAACACCACTTACAAAAATAGGAAAGGGACAAGACCCTAAAATCAAGAAAATACAAACCAAATTGAAGACCTACTTTAGAAAGAATAAGGGCTCTTTGCTAAAGTCATAAAAACAACAATTGGGGTAAGTAATTTCACCAATAGGCCTCCATTTCCAAACCAAGATTTTCACGTTCCAAATCAAACTATCCACATTCCAAGCTTCATTCTGGAAACAAAACCCATTCCTCGTGAGCCAAATGCACCAAGTCAATGCTAACCACACTACACCTAATTTACCTTTCTTGAAATTGTTATCTTTACAATATATGAACCAATCCTTATAACTACAAAAACAATCATCCTCCTCTATCCAACTTTTTCCAATCCAATTAGCTATACTCCGCCAAACCACCTTCAAAACATTACACTTAAAAAAAGAATGAACACAATCTTCCAGGTGAATCCCACAAAACACACAAAGAGAATTCTCGCCGGAAAAAACGACCCCTCTAGCCGCTAGCAAATATTTTGTTGGTAGTCTATTATTAAATAACCTCCAAGCAAAAGCTTTGATTTTGAACGGGACCTCATCTTTCCAAATCAATCGAAAAGCGCCATCATGAATATTCGGAGGACCCATAGGGATCCGAAAAAACTCATAAAATTTATAACACGAAGCGACCGAGAAAATACCGTCCGGTTCTCCAACCCAAGAAACCGTGTCCGAACCACTACTCTCCGGCTCAAACGGTTGAATCAACTCACGAAGTGACCCTACTTCCTGCCCGTTCGGCCCACTGCCTCCCGAGACCTCCGCCGGGGCCAATCCCAAATCACCCCACCTCCAAACATGATCAACCCATCCTCCCATCCCCGCTACCGAAACCAATCTCAATCTAGTTTCTTTATACAAGTTCGGAAACTCGTCCATCAAGCAAAAATTACCCGTCCAATTCACTTCCCAAAAAGGGGTGGTGAAACCTCTTCCGATCTTGAAATTGCACAAACGCACCATCGGATCCAAATGGCCAAATTTACTGATGGAATAAGGTCTTTCCACCAATAAGAGGAAGAAGGGGATGAAGTAGTAGAATGAGGAGGAGAAGAGTTAGAGATAAGAGAATGCGTACCTTTGCTTAACATGACGGATGAAATGTCACCATAGCGAACCTTCAATAAACGAAGCCACACTTCATCTCCGCCTTTTAGAATTCTCCACCTCCACTTGTTAAGTAGAGCCACATTGAAATCCGGCAAGTATTTCATACCAAGGCCCCCTTTGTCAATAGGGAGACACACCTTCTTCCAACTCACCCAATGAATTTTCCTCCTCTCTTCCACACTTCCCCACAAGAAGTCACTTAAAATCTTATTAACTTCTTTAGACACCGCACTTGGCATTTTGAAAAAAGATAAAGTGAAGATATATAAAGAACACAAGACCGATTTAAGAAGAGTTATCCTTCCTCCCAAAGATAAGAAATGATTCTTCCACCCCAAGAGTCTCTTTTTAATTTTGAGCAATAGAGGATTCCAAGTAGATGCTTTCCTTGGATTAGACCCAATGGGGATTCCAAGGAAATTAACGCTACTATCTTCCTTCCTACAAGATAACACAAAGGAAGCCGCATCCAAGAAATTCGAACTAATATTAACACCAATCAACTTACTCTTGTGGTAATTAATACCAAGACCCGAAACAAGTTCAAAGGCTCTAAGAACCGCTTTTATCGCCCACACATGCTTCCACGTACCTTCCCCCACAATCAAGGTGTCATCCGCGGACTGAAGTAAATCCACCATGCACTTGCCATTAACTACAAAGCCTTCGAACTCACCAAGCTCTTGAGACTTCCTAACAAGACCCGCCAGACCCTCCGCCACAATAACAAAGAGAAAAGGAGATAGGGGATCTCCTTGTCTCAAACCCTTTTCAACCTCAAATTCCTTAGTGGGACTACCATTCACCAAAACAGACATCTTACTTTGAAAAATAAGATTATCCATCCATTTCCTCCATAGCGAACCAAAACCCATCTTTGTTAACATAGATCTAAGGAAATTCCAACTTACATTATCATAAGCTTTCTCGAAATCCACCTTAAAGAGAACACACCCTTTTCTTTCCTTCCGAGCATAATCCATCACCTCATTAGCCACCAAAACACCATCTAGCATTAATCTACCTGGCACAAACGCACTTTGACAAGGAGAGATAATTCGGTCCAGAACTTTCTTCAATCTACTTGCTAACAATTTGGAAACAATCTTATGCAAGCAACCAACCAAGCATATAGGTCTATAATCATCCAAAGTAACCGGATTAGTAGATTTAGGAATCAAAGATAAAAAAGAAGATGTTACCGACTTAGAGATACGACCACCCGAATGAAGTAATTGCAATAACGGAAGATATCATCCTTCAAGAAACTCCAACATCTTTTGATGAATAAGAACGAGTATCCATCCGGACCCGGACTTTTTGAAATTCCACATCCCCAAATAGCCTCCTTAATTTCCTCCTCCAGAAAAGGACCCTCCAAAAAAATCCTATCTTCTTCATTAATGCCGTCAAAAGTAATGCCCTCAAGAAACGATTCCTCACCTTCCATGACCTTAAATTTTCTAGCAAAATGCCTATGAACCTCAAACTTAACTTCCTCCACTTTCTCTATCATGCTCCCCGCAACATTAAGGGGACCAATATGGTTATGTCTTCTCCTTTCCTTAATAGCTCTGTGAAAAAAATCCGGAATTCGAATCACCTTCTTTAAGCCATTTGATTCTAGATTTTTGAACCAACATGTTTTCCTTTATCCTCAGATTCGTCCAGAATTTGGTTACCGCTTCCTTTCTAGAATTCGTATCTTCTAGAGATAAGCCTCCCGGAGCAACCGTCTCGGCTAAAACATCCCCCGCATTTATGTCTCCCACCGTTTCCTCCACTTCCAAATCAATCTTACCGAAAACTACTCTATTCCACCATTTGAGTCTATCTTTGAATATCTTCAACTTCTCTTTAAGAACAAAATCACCTCTCCCTTCCACGTGAATGTCTTTCCACTCCCTTTCCGCAAAGACTAAGAAATCATCTTTCGCAAACCATTCATTGTTAAATTTGAACGGTTTTGGACCCCAATTCTCTTTGTCCGACGCCAACCAAATAGGACAATGATCCGAAATGTCTCTAGGACCAACAAGTTGTCCCGTAACTCCCCAATCATTCACGGTAGAATTGGAAATAAAAAATCGATCAATCCGACTCATTGAATTTCCGTTGCTATTATACCAAGTGAACTTCTTTCCCTTGCAAGGAACATCAATTAGACCACTCTCATTTATAAAGTTGCCAAAAAGCTCCATCTCATTAGTGTTCTCCCCATCTTGTCTCCCTTTTCTTTCACTCCTATCTTTAACGGCATTGAAATCGCCCCCTATAATCCATTCTCCATCTTTATGACTATCCATGAGACTTAACAAATTTGACCAAAGATCTTTCTTCTTACTAAGAACGCAAGAGGAGTAAACGTTCACCACATAGTAAATTTTGCCTTTCCAAATCACCTTTGTACCCAAGAATCCCTCTCCCTTGAAACTATTCAACGCTTCCACTTTGTCACTCTTCCATAACGTTATTAAGCCGCCATAATATCCTATAGAATTTGAAAATGAAAAGTCCACGTCCATCTTACTCCACATACTATAAGCAACAAAATCCTCCATGTTAGAAATTTTGGATTCTTGAACCAAGAACATATCCGCTTCCCCCTTTATGATTATAACACTCAACCTCCTCCTTTTCAAAGCGCTACCTCCTCCACGAATGTTAAGGGATCCAATAATCATTTAAAACCGGGTGACAAAGTTTCAATATATATCATTAAGTCTCGTTGGACAAAGGACAAACAAATGGAAGAAAAAGGTTCTTTTATCTTTTGTATAGATTTAAACAATTTACTATACACATAAATAAATTTACACACATGCAAATAATATGTTAATTGTTCAATTTGTTGTAGTAAGAAGGGAAATTAATATTTTAAGATCGTTGAAGCATCCTCACATAATACAAATTTATGAGGTGGTAGAAACCCCAACAAATATATATGATATTAGGGAGTATATGGAAAATGGAGAGCTTTTTGATTATATAATAGAAAAGGGTAGGTTGCAAGAAGAGGAAGCACACACATTTTTCAACAGGTAACAATTTGATCAATTTAGATCCTTTCCATTTATTTTTCTTGGATATGTATGGTTTATTTAATTTTTTTATTAAATTGATAATATAGTTATAAGTCGGTTTACTAACCTTCCACGCATTTTATTCAAGAAAACTAGAGAAGCGTTAGGGGTCCAAAAGGTTGGTCAGAATGTCGACTTGTTGCACAGAACTATGGATGAGAAGTAGTTGAAAGAGTTTAGGTTGAGGTTTCTCGTGATCGTATGATAATCTATCTCATGGGAGGTTTTAAGGCCTGGCCAGGATGGGCATGTGCCCGGGCTCAGCCCTAAAATTTTGTCTTCTTTTATAAAAGAATATGAAAATTGTGGCGGTTAATTAGTGCTGTTATGGCGGTTAAAACCGCCACAATTAACGAAAATGCAGAAAATAGTACTTTTAAATAAAATTTCTTATGTCTTAATATATATTAAATAAAAAAGCGGTTTTTTGTCGTTGATAATGACAGTTTTAACCGCCGTAATTTAAACATTTTTCACAAATAAAACATAATTTTTTTTTCCTTTTTTATGCAATTAAGCATACATTATATTAATTTTTTTTATATGATAATTTTTAGATTCAACTACCTTACAAAAAATGAAAAATTAAAATAAAGTTGCTATTTATGCCCAAATTAACCAAAAACAAAAAATAAATACTTAAAAAAATAAAATTTAACATAAAAGTAGCAGCTACTAAAATTATAAAAAAAACATGTATAGTGTTGTAAAAAAGAAGAAGAAAAGAATAAATTTTATCCTCAAATAATATAAAAAATATATTAGGTCCAATTCTTCAATTTATGTTCACTCTAAATTATATGGTTCAATTGATGTTAACTAGGAATTTGTATTTTAAATTTAATTTGTAGTTACAGTAGTTAGTAAATTATGTTGTTAACTTGTTGCTAATTTCAAGAATTATTATGAATCAAATGAAATGATATTCCATGTTAGTATCAGCCTCAAATTGGATATGGCTATGTTAATTTTAAAATTCTGCCGAAATCAATTAAATTAAAAATATTTTATTTTAATTAATAACTATTTATATATACAATATGAATTTATTGTTTTTAAATTTTTACCCAGGCTTCAAAATCTTTCTGGCTCCACCACTGATCTATCTCGATGTGTTTCATTCTTTCGTGAAAGCTAGCATTGGATGTGATGTGTTTAGAGCATTGTCGTCTTCATGAATTTCAGGGATTTGGATTTTCATTATTTCCGAGTATGTGGTTTCTTCCTTCTATAGTTCTCTTATGCATTCGTCAATGACGTCTACTAAATAACATGTGTCGTCTATGGCTGGTGCTTGTAAGAACTTGGTGAGGATGAATTCTATCTTTTCTTGATGCGTCCGCAAGTGCACGGAAATATCGAAGTAATATAAAAGATTTGTCGAACCCACAGAGACCAATGTCAACCTACCGTTAACTATTGTTGCAGCGTAAAGCTAAGACTAATGGAATTAGGAAAGTTAAATGTGACTGAAATTAAATTTAAAGGAAATAAAGGTTATTAGTTTTAGAAATATATTGATAAGGGATATCGGTATGCAATGCCTTAGTTATCGGGGATTCGACAGGTCACCGATGCTTTTTAGTTTTTGCAAATACTTTTCAGAAGAAAATACTCGTTTAAAGACCTTTGCCTCACGCTGGTTGTTGACTCGGGTCATAATTCTAACCCCGAATGGGATAAGTGACGAGAAACAAACAATTCAAGGTGAGGAGCAAGTGAAAATGGTTGACAATGAAAGTGTTATTTGGAGCTGTGCTCAATGAAGTAATATATTACCACTACTATTCACCAACCCTTACTGTAAGCTACTGATATGCACTTTATTTAATACCTAGTATACTTAATTTTTTTGTAATACTATTTAAGATGTTACTGACATTTTAGATTGAAAACGACGAGTGTGCGACACATTGACACGACACTGACACTGACACATATACATTCAATAATTTTACTTATAGTATTATTACCGGTGGTGTTAGTGTTGTGTCTTGTGTATGTGTCAGGATCTATACAACTTCAAATAATTTAGTTATTTTGTAACATTATGGATGACTCTAATCTTGTTAAATTAGGAGATTAAACTTGTATGCCTCTTAAGATTAGATCTTTTAGTTTTCCATATTTCATATATGAATCTAGATTGTAGCCTTTTGTCACTTTTTATGTGAACTAAATCCGGTGATGAGGAGGGAAAAAAGGGGGGTATATCTGCAAGACACTCCGATGCCAAAGTAAGGAGTTGGGCAGAGTGATAGCAAAGTACAGAAAAAAATGGGTAAGAAGTGAATTACCTGACCCTCTTGAGGAAGAGGGTATTTATAGAGAGACCCCAGCGCTGGGCCAATGGTCACTTGCGTTGGGCTGGATTGCCAGGCCCAACCCAGGTGACTGCTAGGGCTTACGAGGCGTAGTGAAGACCAGGACATGGTCTTCGCCCTAGTTCAACTGTCCCGTGATCTTCGGAAAGTGGGTTTGACCTACTCTTTCGGAGGTGGGTAGTTAGTTAGGTGACGTGTCCCTGCGGAGGGGAGCACGTGGAGAACATGTTGTTCTGCCCGACACGGAGAAGGTCTTGCGCACGGAGGGTAAGGTCCTGCCCGCGAAGGGTAAGGTCCTGCCCGCGATACTCGGACTGGATGGGCCTGGTGAAACATTATTGGGCTAGGCCCGCATGGTCATCCCGGGGCCCAGGCCGGAACAGGAGCCTCCCAAGTCGTTGCTCCGAGGAAGGGAGCGAGGACTTGATGACGTTGTTCCGGGGAAGTGGACTGGCCCGGTGGAAGATCCTTCCACGCGAGCACACGTTGTCGATAGTCCGGGCTTGAAGACGGGTGCTGGCGAGGAGAGGCGAAGGGACGCGCCTGCCTGCTTCTGCCACGTGTCGTGTGCTGGGTGGACGCTAGGGCGGCTACCCTAGGGTACTCAAGTGTCTAGCGACGCTTTGAGTCCCGTGCAGGGGTATAAGTACGCGAGCCCCTGCTCATTTCTCACTTTCCGCCCTCTTGTTCTTGAGTTTTCTGTCTGTTGCCTCGCCACCGTCTAACATCTCTGCCGTCACCGCCGTCGCGTTCTCCGTCGTAGATTTCATCGCAGTAAGTTTCCTTTCTCTTTTCCTCTGTTTTTCTCGTTCGTTTTGTGACCGCGGTCGGGGCCGTTTGAATGCCCCGAGGAGAGGCGATGATCTCCTCCGTTCTAGGTTTTTTTTATAGGGTTTTTGTTATGAATGTCTCGGGGAGAGACGATAGTTTCGATGAGTGTCCCGGAGAGGGAAGCTTATTCTGATGAATGCCCCGGGGAGAGATTCTTTACTTTGATGAACGTCTCAGGGAGCGTCGTCTATTCCGACGGACGCCTCCGAGGAGGGTTTGTAGTTTGGGTCATACTGATAACCGGGGAGGTGGTAGGTGAGAGCAGATCCACCGGGGACGATGCTCGGGGAGTCCTCGTCGCCCTTTCACTTGACTTGCGGTGGAAGGGTGAATTTGATCTCTGTCATCGAATTCACCGTTACCTTCTGCTTTTCAGGTGTTTAATGGCTACGCTCGTCTTGGGCATAATGACCGAGGGTAATGAGCCAGACGTCCCTTATTATGATGAGCGCGCCGTTTCAATCGGAGACTGGGTGGCTGAGGAGCCTCTCACCATGCCCTCCTGCTTTGCCTCTGATCCAACAGGGGCCTATGCCACCCTGGAAGACCGGGAAGAGGGGGATCCTCAAAACTGGCAAGTCTACCGCCCCGGCCAGGTCATCGGATCTGCTCGAAATACGGGCGGATGCGCTTTCCGATGTATGAGTTTTACTTCAAAGAGGCTAGGCTCAGGTTGCCCTTTTCGGACTTCCATCTGGGCCTCTTCGACTGGCTGAGGTTGGCTCCGTCGCAGCTGCATCCTAACGCCCTGGCCTTTATTCGGGCCTTCGAGCTCGTGTGCCAATATCTCCAGGTTGGCGTCACGCTGCCGCTTTTCTTTCATATTTTCCATCTGCAACGGCAGTCGGTGAGTGGCCGACATGGCTGGGTGTCATTCAAGCAGCCAGACAGACTTTTCAGGACGTATATGGATTCTGTTCGAGATTTCAAGGGTCGCTTTTTCGTGGTCATCCCGATCACGCACGAAGGGGTCCGCTCTTTATATTCGGAGGGGGAGAGGATAGTGGATGGTCGTCGTGAGGCCGTCATGTTGCCCCGGGTGCACGTGGAGTGGTCCCTGGAACATTATTCTCGGGGAACAGGTCGGTACATCGTGCGGGCGGGGATGCTTGATGACGAGGACATGGCTAGCTATCTGAAGATAGTTTCCTTCATGCACAATTTGCCGCCGTCGAAGCTGGTCATCCCTGACGGCCGGTATATTCTCGATAGTTACGGAAACATTCGCGAGACGACGCGGCTGATCAACACAAAGGCCCTTCTCGAGTGTGCCTCGGAGGAGGATGCCCTGCGCTATCTAGGTGGTGGACGCCTCATCTTTTTTCGACCTGATACCCTTGGCTTTTTACTGACCGGTTTTTCTTTTGTTGTGCAGGGAATATGGCTTCTGTCGAGGAGCGAGTGAAGAAGTTACGCGCGTTAAGGGCTGCTGTTCCTCCGAAGACG